TCACCCAGCTGAGGAGTGGCGGAACCCGGGTTCCTACCTGGAGCTTGTACCCTTCATGCCCTGGGCGTGCCGATCAGGGATCTGGAGGGTGGCAGATGTGCATACATGTGTGAGTGTGTGAGTGTGTGTGTTCCTGTGTGTTTGTCGGTGTGTAGGCGCAGGGGGGCACATTCAGGCAGCGCCACCCTCCAGGTGGTCAGCTGCTCAGCAGTCCCAGCCTTTTCCAGGGCCCTGTTCTGGGTGGAGTGTGGCCCCCACCCTGCACCGTCCACCTCACACGGGCTTCACCTAGGCTCTGTGAAGGTGGTGGTTTCCATGGATACCCGTGTCCCTCTGGCGACACGCCCTTTTTTGTCTAACTCTGCTCCCTGGAGTTGATTGTTTTTGGCACCTGGCTCTGTAAACTCATCCAACAATTAAAAGGCGGGTGGGGGTGGAACAAAATGGAGACAGATAGTTACTGTGGGGCCAGTGACACTTAGGAAGGGCCCCTGGGCTGCGGGTCCCCTCCCTGTCCCCCGTGGGCAGCATGACAGCACCCAGGGTGCGGAAAGGCCACGGCACCAGCTGGCTGGGAGTCACTCCTGCAGGGTTCTGGTGCCTTCCCTCGGCACCGTCTATCTCCCCTTCTAAGGGGGCCCTTCCTGGAGTCATGCAGCCATCTCCAGAGGCCGCCGGAAGCCGTGAGGTGCCGGCCTGGGCCGATGGGAACGCGGCCTGCCCTTGTTTTGGTGGAGCGTGTGTTTGCCGTGTGTATCATCGGGTGCCTCCTGCGCTGGGCGTACCCGTCGTAGGCTGTGTGAGATCACAGTTGAAAAATGCGGTGAAAAACATTTTCATGCCGCAACACATCGTGTAGGATTTTTGTATTAAGATGTGGATTTTTTTATTGTTTTTTTTTTCCCTCCTTTTCCATACGGCCCCGAAGTTGGGCAACGCACACGTCTGTGTTTTTGTTTTCACTCTGGGTGGTTTGTGAAATCTGCTCATTAGCGCCGTCCCTTCCCCACCCCAGCTGATCTTCTGCTGTCTGTCCTCACGAATGTAGATCTTTCCCCGCCATCTCCTGGTGTCTCCTCTCCTTTGAAGAGGTGGCGGGGGGGGGTGGGGGGGGCTCCCTACCTGTGCACATTCGCCAAGTGAAAGTCAAGGGCTCCTGTGGCCCTGCTCCTCAACCCAGGGTCTCTTAAGCAGGTGTTGGTGGTGGGAGGTCCCGATGTGGGCAGGCAGCAGAGACTTCTGCCTCCCTCCGCCAAAACACCCTTCCACCTGCCCCCTTGTCTGTAGAGATGAAATGAAAGTTGTCCTACCCGATAGAGCCTCCTTGGAGTGGCCCTCTCCTGAGTGGCTTCCTCGTCCCCATCCCATCAGATGACAGGCAGCAATGAGTATGCCCACAGCTGAGACCCCATTTCCCAGGCAGGCCCAGGGTTTGGCCTGCACACCAGGTGTGCGGCCCTGGGCCTGTCCGTCCCCATGTTCAGCCCAGCCAGAGCGGCTGAGCACGGCCCTTGTCTTTGGCTGTGGTGTCCAACTGAGTGCATTCTGGAGGCCCTGGGGGACTTGCTGGAAAGCTGTTCAAGGCTGTGGGAACTGAGATTCAGGAAGGGAAGTGGCATCAGGTGGAGTGGGTGCTAAGATCATGGGGAGAGGAGGAGGAGGAGCAGGTGAGTTTGGCCCGCATTCTCCAAGCCCAGGCCTGGCTTCAGCTCCTGTGAGTGGTGTGACCTTTGCCCAGTTGCTCCGTATCTCTGTACCTGCTATCCCTGATCTCTCCCTGGGGACCGTAATTGCTCCTGCCTTCGTGTTGTAAAGACTGGGCAGGATCATGCGTGTAGAGCACTTGGCATGGGGCTTGGCATCTGGTTAGTTTATATTAGTTCTCACGCAGGCCAATTGGCAGAGGGGAGAGCCACTCATCCAGTGCTCTCTATTCCCAGCATGCTCCCGGGCACATAGTAGGTGCTCAGTCAGTTCTTCTTGGAATTGATTGGAGGAGGATCAAGTAGCCAAGTGGTCCCCTCAGACCTGAAAGTCATGAATTCACAGGGATCATGAGGGAGGCAGAGAAGTCAAATCGCAGGTTGGGCCTAGGGAGCTCAACAGAAGGGAGAGTGGAAACTGCCCATGAAACTTTCTGTTGGGAAGAGGGAGAAGCCACACTAGGCCCGTCTGATTCCGACTTGAGATCAGGGACTCGTTCAGTTCCACCAGCACTTAGGCCACCCACTGTGGGCCAGCTGTTCTGCTAAGTGCCGACACAAAGATAATTAAGACCTGGTCTCTGCCCTCGAGGAGTTAGGAACCCAAGGCGAGACAGACCCATGAACAAATTACTTCAGTCCAGCGTGGATTCAAACGCAGGGACTACGGATGTGCCAGGAGCAGAGTCGAGGGGCACGTGACCTCTCGAGCGCTAGATTCCCTGAAGCGTGGAAGGAGAAGGTGGTGGCAGCGCCCCTCTCAGCCTTTGCCAGGTCTCCCCACAGCCTGGGGGACCTCCTCTCCTTCCTTCCTTCCTTCCTTCTCCTTCCAGGTGACTGGTGAGGAAACGGAGCCCTGGGAGATTAGCCGGCTCGGCGAAAGGCCCACACTGGGTTAAGTGGCAGAACTGGGCCTCAGACCCACATCTCTGATCCTTGGCCCAGGGTTATTTCTGTAACTGCATCTGGCTTCTCGCCCCTTCCCCCCCCCCCCCCCCCCCCCCGGGGCTGCTGGTCGGAGATCCGCACTCTGGGCTCTGCACCTACTGACCGGGATTTGTGCTGCTGCCATGGCCCCTGGGGCCTGTGTCGTGGGAGAACCCCGGTGCATGAAAGGCCCCAAGGCCTGTGCCCTGGTTTGGTAAATGGGTCAGGCCACTTGGTTTGGGGACAGTCCCAGAGTAAGGCCACACCCTGGCTGGGCTGGGGGATGGCAGGAATGGGGAAGACTGAGGAGGAGCAGGAAGAGGCCTGGCCACACCCTTTATTTGATTGAAGCTCCCTCTGCCCCTCAGGTTCCTCTGTTGGCAGGAAGAGGTCAGACTAGGCTCCCTAGGGTCTGGAGACCCCTCTTACCCTGTCACTAGACCCCCTTCAGAACCAGGCGTGAGACACTGGGAGTGCAGCTTGGGTGTGGGGTCAGACTCTGGTCCACCAGCTCCTTCCAGAAGTTGGGAGGTAGCGTGTTTCTCTTGACCTTTTCTCTAGGGAAATACCGTGTCCCTTCTGCAAAGCTGGGAGCTGGGAGTGTCACCCCCCCATGTCAGAAGCTGGCTTTGGGTGGAGTCTGAGGACCCTGAGGTGGAACCCCTGCAGGCAGGCATTCTGGGGGCAGCAGCCGTCGGTGGTCCAAGGCACCCCCCACACCCAGAGCCGTGAATCCGTGGGTGTGCTTCGGGAGCTTCCAGGGATTCTGGACTAACTGGAGGAGGAGTGTCAGAGCCCAGAGGACTGAGTCTCCCAGTGGCCCTGAAGTTCCCATTAAAGTGTTTTTTCCTCTTTTTTAAAGAAAAAAAATATTCCCAAACTGGAAAACAAAGGAAATCCACTTCCCCCAAATCACACGAAACTCACATTAGGGGCCTGGCAGGACTCCATGGAAACCAGGAAACCCGCCGTTAACCCTGTGTGGTGCTGAGGGTGGGGTGGGAGCCAGGCCAGTCCACCCTGGACTGCTGTCACCTTCCATCTCTACACTGGCCCAGGGAGCTGGCCTGGGTGGCATCGCCCCACCAGAGGGGAGGAGCTTGTGCCGAAGCCTGCAGAGCCCACTCCCTTCCACTCAGGCCCAGCCTTGGGTGGCAGGAGAGGAGCACTTAGCTCTCCAGGGAGGCCCCCTGGGGCCTCCGAGGCCCCGGGCCAAGTTGGAGAACCTGCCAGGCAGCTGCCCACTCCATGCCACTCACTGCAAACAGGGCCAGGCCCGCTCACACACTTGGGGAGCACACTGCCGTTGACCGTCATAGATGTCACAGTCCCCCAGGAGAGGAGGAAGAGAAGGACCCGGATTTCAGTGCCAGCTTCATACGCAGGGTGGGGGTGAGAGTGGGCAGAGTTGCCCCGGGATTCCCTGCACCCTGCTCTTACATCATGAGGCTGGGCCGCCACTTTGGGAAGTTGTGCGCCAGGTTCGGGCGTGTGTTTGTGTTTGCACGCACACGGGCTCGTTTTTTCTCAAAAGGCTGAAAATATTTACAGGTTTGAAGTTGAAACGCAAACAGGAAAAGCCCTTTAAAAAGTGAGTGTAGTGGATATTCAAAACAGGGATCACCATGGAAACACCACAATATTTGCTTAAATTGACACAAAGGTTGCCGGTAGCAGGGCACCAACTTTCTTTGGCCACTTTTTTTTTGTTTTTTTGGCCCAGCACCTATCACAGATGAATCTCAGCTGCCTCCTTCCAGGGCGTTTGCCCACGCCCTCTTTTCTTTTTTATGAGATGACCCAGCTCCACAGCAGAGGGGAGCGGGGAAAAGGAGAGAAGAAACCGAGTTGACCATCCCGCGCAGCTGCCCAGGCCCTGCTTAATGCTGGGTTTGCAGACTCCATAACCCCTGGGGGTCTGGGGCAGCCGGGAGCTGGCCCAGGGCAATCTGGAGGGCAGCAGGGTTAGGGAGCTCAGGGGCCCGTTCTGTCGCATGGGTCTCATCTGTTTCCAGTGTTGGCTTGGTTCATTCTCAGGCTGACCTTTCACCCCAGGTACCAAGCCTTGGGTGTGACCCCTCTGTTGTTCCCAGAGTGGCACCTGATTGGCCTAGTATTGTCTCTCCCTGTTTGATTCTTAGCATAGCAATTGGCTAATAATTGTGCAAAGGGCACACTGGTCACCGGGTCAAGTGTGGCATGCACGGTGGCAGTGCCACCTGCTGATTGACAGGCAGGGTCCAGGAGTCACATGTTGTTGGCTTGTTACCACCCGAGGTGTCGGAACCTTGCCTCCTTTGTTCGCCTATGGGCAGCAGGTTTGTGGGCACCAACTGTAGCCTAATCTGTTTTCCTTTCTCTTTTTGGTAGGCACATAGACCTTGGTGACAGAAGACAAAGATCCCATTGGCCCTTCCAGCTGCCCTGGCCACCAACCCCTCCTTCACAGGGGGTCCTGCAACTCCCAGGTGGTGCGTGTTGGAATGGACTTCAGACCCCAGCCTCTTGGGATGCAAAGGTAGCTGCTCTTGGTTCCCAAGGTGCCCCTGGGAAGAGTGGGCCGGCCAGTTTGGGGGTTGCGCCTTAGGATGGGAAATGCGTAGGCCCTAGGCCACCCTTTCTCAGTGGGTTCCAGCCTGGGTGGTGGTGGCTTATGCAGCATAGGTGAAAGTGAAAAGAACATGAGGGTGAGGAGAGGGCCCTGGTCTAGGAGCCGGGCACCTGCAACTTAGTCTGGGCTTTGCCAGCAGCTCACTGCCAGCTCCCCCTGAATCTCCATTTTCTTACCTGGAACATAGCAAGTTGGAGTAACTGACCCTAAAGAGTCCTCCCAGTGGTCCTGTGGGTGACACTGGATGGTATGGCGTGAGCGGGCCAGGGTGTCAGGTGAGGCCTCCGCCTGTCAGATAGCCATCCTGGATCTAGGCATCGGGTCATCTCTGAACTTCATCTCAGGGACCTTTCTGTATGGGCAGAGGCTTCTCTGAGCTCTGGGCTCAGCCTGGGGAGACCCACTGGGGCTCTCTTGGGTGGCTCCAGCCAGGCCTCCTTGGGGACTAGTAGGAGCCCTGAATACAACCCAGGGATTGCAAATCAGATGCAAACGTGGCCTTTGGTTGCTGGGGTGGAGCGACATGTGGCTGAGACTCTTCTTCCTGGCATCCAGGATGTGATCGGGCTCCAGGAATCGGTCCATCTGTACCTAAGGTGTGCTGCTGTTGTCCTGTTGTCACCTGAAAAAGGCCACGTGGGGGGATTGGTGGCTGCGAGGTCTTGCTTGCATTCGGTGCCAGCATCTGTACCTCTGCCTCTCCTGGAGCTCTTCCTGCCATCTCTGCCCTCTCTGATGATGACTGTTGGGAAGGCGGGAGCCTCAGGTTGGCTCCCAGCCCACCCTGCGCCCTGCTCCAGAGGCTGCCCGAGTGCCCCTCTGAGGGGACAGGTTCGCCTCTTCTCTTCTTGGTGGCAGGCTTTTTGTTTTCTTCTTTCTCTGGGCAAAACATGCCCATTAGTTTTTCCCTTTCTGAAGTTTCCACTCACTGTTGGCTCCCAGGGGCCGTGCCAGCTGGGATTTGCACCCGGCACAGGGTAGGGGCCCAGCAGGTCCGGTGGGACTCCCACATCCTGGCATTGGCTGTCTTGGGCTTGATAATGAAGCTTGGGAACCCTGCGGGCTCCGAGAGGGAATGTGGTCACCGAGTCCCGCCTCACTTACCCGTCCGTTTCCAGTGACGGGCTTGGCCACAGCCTGGGGTTCTCATGGCAGGGTGACCCCTGGTCTCAGAGGCATCCAGCCTGACCACAGCATGGGCGAGGGAGCCAAGACTGGGCTCAGTCTGGTCCACAGGCCTGGCTTAGCGTCTCCCAATTTCTGGCTATTCTCTGCGAGATCTGGTCACATTTATCCTACAGTCACAGAGGGTCTGGTGTCTGCCACTCTCTCCCCCATAGACAAAGTGGACAAGAAACCCCTGCTCTCACCAAGTTCCTGTAGCAGAGGTGACAACCAGCACACCCACAAAACTGAACAAAGACTTGGTGCTGAATGGAATGTGCCCGGGGCACTTAAGGCAGGATGCACAGAGGAGGCCTCTGAGGGGACAGCTGAGATGAAGGACAGGAAGTGGACAGCCATCTGAAGAGCAGGCAGGAGAATATTCCAGAAAGGGAGAACAGGTAGTTTAAAAGTCCTAAGGAGGGGCTGGGGATGTGGCTCAAGCAGTAGCGCGCTCGCCTGGCATGCGTGCGGCCCGGGTTCGATCCTCAGCACCACATACAAACAAAGATGTTGTGTCCGCCGAAAACTAAAAAATAAGTATTAAAAAAAAAAATTCTCTCTCTCTCTCTCTCTCTCTCTCAAAAAAAAAAAAGTCCTAAGGAGGGAGGAACTCACTACGTTCAGTGTCCAGGAGGAAAGGCCAAGTGGCCGGGAGGTAGATAGGGCAGGGTCCTGGATGTGTAGGGCGTAAAGTGTCAGGGGAGAAGGTGGGATTTTATTCTTGGGTGACAGGATGTCCCCTAGGGGCACCTTAAGGAAGGAGGTAGTGAGATGCTTTTTGTTTTTTAAAGACAGCCGGAAACCAGATGCCCTGGCGCATTCCTGTAATCCCAGCCACTCAGGAGGCTGAGGCAGGAGGATCTCAGGTTTGAGGCCAGCCTGGGCAACTTATCAAGAATAAAATAAAAAGGGCTGTGGGTGTGGCTGGGTGGTAAAGGGCCTCTGGGTTCAGTCCCCAGTCCCCAGAAAAAAAAGTGTGAGGGTGTCCTGGGAAGCATGCATCAGAATGGCGGCAAGGGAAGAAACCAGGAGGCCAGGGGACGGGAGGAGTGAGGGGCCTGGATGGAAGCTGTGTGCCCAGAGGCAGAGTTAGTGGAACTTACCAGTGGATTGAATGGGGTGAGGGAAGGAGGGGTCAGCACGCCTCCAGGGTTCTGAGCCCCTGGGGTGTGGCCTGCGTCTTCTTTCTGACAGTGCCAAGAGACCCATGGCTCTTAGACAGTTAACACCTTGTGGGTTGGAGGAGGGGCGCCATCTTGGAACCAAGCCGGTGGCCAAGCAAGTCCTGAAGGGCTTGGGTGCCCCTTGGTCCGCCTCCAGCAGCCAGCCTTGGAGCAGGCTGTGACTTCCATGCTGGCGATGCTTTCAGCCCTACGACTCTGCACGACACCAGCTTTGGGCTTTTGTTCCAGGGGTCCTGTGCTGGGTCTGAGGTTGGGCACAGACACCCGTAGAGTTTCTCTCAGTGGGGCTTTACATGTGGTCTGTCTTCTGAGCTCCTGAACCTTTTCCTTCGTGCCTGGTCATATAGACCCTCAGTTGATCAGCTCTGAGGCTGAGAAATGGGACTGTCTAAGACCTGGTCATGTCCATGGGACCCATTTCAGCTGCCTGCTCTTGCACATCTGCAGAGATCTTGGGGGTCTTTTATTTATTTATTTTAGTTGTCGATGGACACAATATTTTTCTTTCTTTATTTTATGTGGTGCTGAGACTTGAACCCAGTGCCTCACACATGTTAGGCAAGCACCCTGCCACTGAGCTACAGCCCCGGCCCTCTTGGGGGGGGTCTTTCCTCGTGGAAAGCTGTGCATTTTCCTAGGTGGCCCATCAGACTTGAACTCAGGCCCTGTGACTTTTTCTGGGGCCTCTGTCGTGGACTCCACTACCCCAGGTCCTGACATCATCTGCAAGGACCAGGCAGGAGGAGGCAAGCCCAGCCTGGTGCTGTGACAGTGAGGCAATCCCCGACTCCCCCCACCCCCACAGGCTTTGTGCAGCCCTGGGTACTGCCATGTAATTCGGTAGCAAGCCAAAGGCCTGGCTGGCACAAGCGTGAAGCTGTCACCACCGGCTGCTGAGCCCCATGTGCACTTGCCCGTGCTGGCAACACACCCCCAGCCATATGGGCCAGCTCAGCCCTCCAGGAAGCTCTGGAGGCCTGACCTCCAGGGGGCGTGACAGGAAGGGCAGGCCAGCTACGTTTCGCAGGGGGCATCAGGGGTGTCCCGAGTGGGAAGCAATATGTGACACAGCAGCTCAGTCCTCCAGGAAGCTCTGGAGACCTGACCTCCAGGGAAGTAATGGGAGGGAGCAGAAGGGCAAGCTGGTGGCGGCTGGCAGGGGGTGACAGGGATGTCCCAGGCCCACAGCTGGTGCCTCAGCCTGGCTCGGAGGGGGCCGCCAGCCAGTCCTCCTGGGCGTGCCTGCTGGCCCTGGGGGAGGGTGCGTCTGTGCACACGTGGGAGGCTTTTCTGCTTTCTGCCTCCATGGTCTGCACTAGATCCATGACCTTCACTCCTAACTGGACTGGACAGTTCTAATGCCATCCTCCGGGGCTTTGATCTGATGTGAGGCTGGCAGCTCCAGAGCACGCAGCTGCGGTGGGGGAAGCAGAGAGGTGGGTTCCGGAGAGGGATGTGGGGCCATGTTCTCCACCACCCTGGGTGACGCAGAGCTCAGGAGGATGAGTGGGTTCCAGTGGTGCAGCCCCGTGAGGGGTTGTGACTGGGAGAAGGTTTGGAAAGAGCCACTGATGGTTCTGGTTCTAATCTGGGTAGGAATTCTGTCTGATGGCACAGGCGCCCCGCCCTTGGCCCTTCAGTTTTTCCTTATAGAATTGGAAGCCCCCGCTACCCCAGGCACTGACTCAGGGACGTGGGCTGGCAGGTCTGGCAGCACCTGCCCTGTGTAGAGCTCCTGGGGGTCTCATCTGGTGCCAGGGTTGCTCGAGCAGAACAACGATGGCTTTAGGAGCGCTGACACCTTAAGGACCAGGGGAGATGCTCGGCCTCAGTCCCTGTGGCCTCTGGGTGCCTGCAGCAAAAAAATACCAGTAACAGAGGAGCCCCGGAGGCTGGGCACGCGTCCCCTTCCCGTGTAGACCTGTGGGCTCCTGCTGTCCCACCAGCGTCCCCTTGGCCTCTTTCATTCCAGAATCTACAGAGATACAGACCTGATCCAGGTGAGAGTCCTTAAGTCAGAGGTCGCTGGACCAAGGCATGAGCCACCAGTGGGACCCTTGAAGTCCATCTCCCAGGTCCTTGATGGTGACACACACTCACCCCCCACGCCATTTGCTGCTTGTTCTCTGTCACATGGGGCCTTGGAGTGATCCTCACCTTCTGCTCCCCACCCATGTTTTCTCTTGGGTTTGGTTGACTTCCCTCGGGAGCAGGAGGCTTGTCCGACCCTGAGCCTTGCTCTGCTAGTCTGGGGTTGAGACCGCTGTGGCCGGGGTGGGAGAGGAGAGGAGGTGTAATTAAACACTAGTTCCTTTTCCAGAAATGCTAATCGAGAAAAGCAATTAAAAGCAACTTTTTTTTTTTCCCTTAGTAATCTGGGTTAAGAGCTGGTAATGAAGTTTAGGGCCATTGTGACTCAGTATTTCAGCTTCACCGACTCAAGTCAAAACAATCCAAGCCCAGGAGCTCACCAGCCGCTGAGTTGGGCCCGGGAAGCAGCTGTGCGTCCTGATGTTCCCGCTTGTCACCACCCTTTGCCGTTCCCCGGGGCAGAGA